GAAGCGGCTCCGGATGATTTCGCCATTGTAAAATACATGGATTTACTGTAAAAATAGTGAGTTCTTTTCAGTTTTACATCCTGATCCGGCTCATAGCTCTGGATACCAAAAAGTCGCCACTAAATTACAAGTTAAATTACAAGTCTGTAAATAGAGGCATGTCAAGTGGCAAACTGGCAAATTTTGGCACTTTGAGGGGGTGTATCCTGGCGGGAATTAACTTTTCCAGGCTTTTTTTTGCGGCTTTCTCTATACTCGCCTGGATGGCCGTGTCCTTCTTAATGGATTGAAAGTTCTGCAGTGAGAAGAGAAGTGGCCTGATAAAAATCTACTGTTATTATTCGCGTGCACCTTACGATAGCAAAGTTATGTTTAGCTAAAGGAGGTGCTTTTAGAAGGCTTAGCCTTGACAATATTCTTTTCTTCTCATTTTTTTTACCATAGAGAAATCCCTTTGAATGTTCTAAAAATTTAAATAAGCCGTATTGCACGGACAAGGAGGTGTCTTCGTTAAGTGGAAATTAGAGGGGACTATTTTTTTGCCGTTTACATGCTTTCCTGAATCTGTTTAGATTTTAGATTCAGAGCGGTACAGCATGGAGTTTTCTATCAAGAACGTTGGGTTGAGCTGGCGCCTAGCTTCAGAACCAAAATACCTATGATTTGAGTAGTGGATATGCTTCTTTTAGCCTACACATCTTTTGTATCATTGAAAATGTAATGTTTTGTGACTGTCTAATAATAGTTAGGGTAGTCTGTAAAAAATTTTTCTCATGTGCAATATAATTTTCTCACGCAGACATCTGACAGTCGAAGCGTACTAGATATTTATGGCAATTTGATTCCGCTTTCGCAGTCAGGTCCTGCATTTGGTAGTGATTTCTCCTTTGTAGAGTACACACGACTGCTGCTAGCGCTGGTGAATTTTAGTCAGTCTTGCGCAATTACTCTGCTCAAATATAATTTTCTATACTTTTTTTTTGCGAGGTACGGGGGACTACAGGTTACAAGCATGAGAACTGAGTTATTGGATTACCATTGTTTGAATCTTTTGCAGTGGATGAGGCTCATCGCAGAATTTAAAATCATAATTCGATACACAGTTTACACTTGAACAGGATAAAGATGCGATTTTAAAAGACAAAAAAAGAAGCGAGATTTTAAAGCTACGTTGAAGCAAGATACTGTTGCAACAATTCAATTTACTACGTTGTTTCTGATTGATCTTTTTAAGAACGCCATTTTTGACCTTGTTATGACTCACACATCGACAACTGCAACGACACGAGTATTGAAACAGCTTATTTAAGTGTGGACACTCTTACTTCTCTATATTTGTTTAACTGCAAATGCTATACAGGTTTCTAGAGATCTCGGTTTTGCGTCAGATATTCCCAAAAAATTAAAATTACCAGTATTTCTGTAAATTCATTTTGAAACTTTTGGTTTATTTTATTCTCGCGGTCTTCGAGCAGAAGTGAGAAAAAATGATTTCAAACTACTTACACGTTTCCTTAACCAAGTCGGAATGTATTCTGGTTTTTGTAGAATGACGAAAATTGCACATCATTTAAATGTGTTTTGTCTGATTAGAAAACGCGAATTTTTTTCTAGTTTGGAGGGCTCTACGTTTTGCCCAATAAGGGGGAAGTCTTGGATTGGGCAACTGTTCAAGTCGGAGTTGAGCTCTCGTGATTTTTTTTAAACCTTAAGGAAGTCTAAGGTGTCATAAGAACAAAGTTTGCGGCTAGATGTAGGATAGGATATTTTTGTGGGGCAAGCAGATTGATATGACCAGTATTTAAAATAACTGCTTTTCAGCAGTCATCTTTGACCTGAATTTTGAATTAGCTGGTTTTTTGATATTCCGAGTTCGCATCAACGCATAAATGAACAGAGCTTTGAGCAGCTAGTCAGAGAAAGACTGTAAGTGAGTTCTTTAACGGAGACTTTTTAAGCGATGAAGAGTAATTGCAGGGTAAGCGTGACTTGATCATTTTGTCATCTTAAATGTCAAAACGTTTTATACAGATGAGTTAGTATGGAAGGACTGTTAGGGAAATCAGCAAACGTCATAATTCCTTCTCTCTTACAGAACATAATAATAAGAGAGTTACAATCGTTCAAAATACAAAACCTACTTTTTAGGGAGCCCTCCATCTCTGATAGTCAGTTTTTTTTTGATACTATTTGGTTTCCGCTTTTAGTTAAACTATTTGTCTTTTGAATAAGTCTTTATTCTTGGAAGATAGCTGCAATTTAAACAGGTGAAAGGATAAGATTTAAACTATAATTCTTCAAAATTCAGGTCTTCGAAATCTGACCCAGATTTTTGCACCAAAAAGGGATTTGATTCGAAACGTTTGCTTTGCAATAACGGTTTTGAGAACCAGAAAAGAATTTTCCTCTTGTCATCATTAGATGAAGAAGTCAGTTATGTTTAATTTTTAGAACAGCTACAGTTTTCAGAATTAAGAGCTGTTTAGCGTTTGTTTTCGTATTCTGCATAATTTATTTTCATCATTATCTACTTTAGGTGAAACGAAGGTATGCTATTGTGATCGAGAAACTTGGTGGTGGATTGAGTGTGGAATTCAGTGATGAAGTACAATATTTAATTTGCGGGAACATCTTTCGTAATGAAAAATTGTTGGCTTCTATGGCCTGCGGTTTATTCATATTACGGCCAGAATATATAGATGAATGTGAAAAAGCCGGGAAGTGGTTGGAGGTTTGACATTGATTTTTTAGAACGTTTCTGCTTGTTTGAATGGTAAAGCAAAAGTTTTATCATTTTTAAACTTTCTGGATTTTAAGAATCGTTTATTAAAAAGTGATAAGTCGCTATAATGCGTTTTATTGATTGTTCTTAAAGTTTATTTAGTAGTTAGTTCTATCTTGCAGCCAGAAGCTTTTGAATGGGGCAATCCGGCTTTTTTGGAGAAACATCATTTTTCTAACGAGAAGACTGAAGCTTTAGCTGTAGCATGTCGACGTTGGAGGCTTAAAATTGGCATTGTGTGGATTTAGATTGCTGTTTATATTTTTTAATGCTTTTTTATTCGGATGCTGACCGGCTTTGAAGATCTCGTTTCATTTCAGGCAAAACCGAAGAAGAAAGCATTTTTTGGCTGGAATGTTGTTTTGTACTGTAATCGTCGACGGTCTATTGATATTGGCAGAATTATATCGTTTGGTGGTGGAGCTGCAGTGTTGAGGTATTCCTGTTCGGTATTTGCTCAGAATGTTTCATTTACTGATGTTTTTCGTCCTCTGTCTTCACCAGTTTTGTCAAAAAATTTCTTTCGTAATTTTATTTTTCAGAGATGATGTAGAATTAGCTGATTGTTTCACTCATGCCCTTGTTGAACGATCAAAGTTTTGGAATGACAAGGTATTTAGAGTAGTCTCAAAAGTTACCTCATTGCCATTTTACTCAACTGATCCTGTTACTGGCAGTAAGATTTTTTAGGAAATCGATACTCTGGTGAAAAGACGTCTGAAATGTTTTAACATGGATTTTATAGCTAATTTTCTTATTGTGGAGAATATAGTTGAGGAAGATTACTTACATCGAGATTACGCTCAGCGTCTTTCAAGGATTGATTAGCAATGCTTGTAAAGCTTTCTTTCAAAACTGCAATCGAATTTAAACCGACCAAATAAGTACTAAGCAGAACTGTTTTGATATAAACGACGACTTGTTTATTGTGGAACTCTTTTTTAATCACTGTATCAAATATTTCTTATGGTCAAAGGGCAGCTGCCACATAGGTGACTTCACCAGTTCGAAATGTTCTTTTTTTTTTTTTTTTAAATTGTATACTCATTTTAATAAACTTTAGTAAGAAAGTAATTACGTAATTTTTGTTAGATAGTTCTTAATTGGTGTAGTGTACAGCTGTCATCAAAAGTAGCATTTAAAAAAGTTGTAATTGTGGCTTTCTTCTCTGCAGTTTCCATTTGTTCCCTTCATGTATTTTTCATGCATTTGTTCCCTTCATGTACAGTTTTAAGTTTTCTCTTTAGAATCTGGTGCAAGCACTGGAGCGGGCCAGAATTCTATTATAGTTACTAGAATATTTTTCCTTTTTCTTAATTCAGCTGCATGTGTTAGATTTTTCTCAAATACAAGATGAAGCAAAACCGTGAGCCTCATTGGCTCAGGGG